GTGGGTTTCCGGTTTGACTAGGACTGGCAATCACTTGCAGATCACCGTGGCCGATGTCTCTTCCCATCATTTGTTTCCTTCAGGGAATCCTTTAGCCATGCCTGTTCCCTCCCCGGGGCCCTTCCTGGTCTGCCAGGGAGGAGGATGGCTGTCCTGAGACAGCGCTCACTTCCCACGGGCCTGGAAGGAGCTTCCAGGTGATGGAAGCGAAGCCTGGGCTTCTGAGCAAGCGGTTCACATATTCCGTGTCCTCCACTTCCCGGTTCAATGGAAAAATCCATCTCAGCCTCACAGTGTTTTGCGCCCAGTGCTCATGAAGGCTCCAGGACAGATACCGGGAGGCTGCATGCTTCTCCAGGGCGCTGGAAACGGAGCATTTAACTGAAGCCTCGAGCTTCCTCCAGGGAGTTCGCATCTGGGCCTTTGCTATCTCTCTCTCCAATTCTGTGAATGGACCAGAGTTTTTTGCATGCTTTCATGGTTATGTATTTGAACAGAAACACATTTGTGTCAGAGGGATACAAGGCAGCAGTGAGAACTGTCTGCTGGGTTTTGGTTGATCCGTCTTTGCTGGGACGGCAGGGCAGGGCAGAGAGCGGGGAGGGCAGAGGGCAGGCCTTCCTCGGTGGGCGGGTGCGGCCAGCCCTGCCCTTCCTCTGGGATAGGGGCTGGCCCTGCACATCAAAGAGCAATGTGGATGGGCCTCTAGCCACAGCCAGGAGGCCTCTTCTTTTCCCAAGAAGCCCGAGAACAAAGGGAATCTTACTAATTCCGGGAAGTTCTATATAGGAACATTTTTCAACTCAATAAAAAGAGTCTTTAGCATCTACGCTTCTGTTTTGAATTAGACACACTTATCTTTGCCTACTCCAAGCAACTAATATCGAAGGAGGTTTGTCAGTAGTGGATACTTAGAGTTTGAAGTTGTCTAGTATGTATGCCAGGAAAATAAATTTCGTACTATGAGGCCAACTTGGTTCCAATGCTTAGGAAAAGCATCCATGTGTACGGAGGGCAGAGAGCATGTAAGTCCCGGGTAATGGAGAGACAATAATCAAGGAAAGAAAGAGATGCTGTACAAATGCTCCTACACTGCTGATAAGTGATTTGGGAATCATAAAGAATTCTCCTAACATTTGGCTGACCTTGAAGTCAAGGTATTTTTTGTTTTGTTTTCACATGCTCGTAATATTGTGAGTGAAGCATAATGTGCGTTAGAGCTGATTTCCCAGTTCCAGGAATTTCCCTGGTCAGCCTTCATACTGGGAGACCATTGGCCTGACTTTCTCAGTGCCCTTCATGGCTGTTTCGCTGGACATCAGTGGCATGTCGCCACGTGTCACAGTGCATGTGACTCTCGCTGCCGTGCACATCTCAGCCCAATTGAAAATCAGATGGAGCTCAGAGCCCTCTCCCATGCTGCTTTCTCTCCCACTTTCCCACCTCCTTGGATCACCCCATCTTTGACCAAGGGGCTCCCCCGATGTCCTTCAGCACCATCAGCTGCACACACACCGCTCTCCCCCTCCAGCTGGTGGGATGCCAGGCGGGCCTGTGGGTCTTCCGCCCTCTCAGATCTTGTTCTGAAAAGAGGAGCTGGTTCTAGTCTGATTCCCAGGAGAGGCTTGGAAGTAGATGCGTTAGCCTTGGTTTTTAGTAAGACTGGCTTTAGTTCAAATATCCATCTTACAAAATAAGATTTTCCAAATATAGTCACACACCTCTTATCCCATTTTTTTTTTTATCCTTTACAACTTACGTGTGACTTGAATTCCATATCTGTTTCAAGTTACTTGGTGTTTCACAGAAATCTATCCCCTGTGTAACTTTGGGTTCCACTATGTTTTGCTTAACAATTTTTTTTTTCTTTTCTTGAACATTCCTGAATATGCTATTAAAGATTTTCATTTGTTACTTTTGGAGCTGCAGTGACTTCCCAAAGCTCAAGTAGAAAGAGGGAAAGCCATTGTGGATTGGGTTGAACAAAGTCCTATTTACTGAAATTGGCTCTTCGTCTGCTCTTATCAAGGCCTTGCTCCCAGAGAATGATTGCTGCTGATAATGCCCATGGCTTTCTCTCCCAGAAGGAGAGAAACCTGCTGAATTGCCAGTAAAATCTAAGCACTTTTAATCCCTTTTATGAATCTCAGACATCTCTTTCTTCCCATGATTCTTTCTTTCCTGGTCTTTCTTTCTTCTTCCTTCCTCCTTTCCTCTTTTCTTCCCTCCCTCCCTCTTTCCCTCCCTCCTTTTCTTCCTCCTTTCATTTGAAATTTGATTTAGTATGGTATTTTAAATTTAATATATTGAGATGACATTGCTCAATAAAATTATACAGTATGATTTTTAAAAAGCAGGGATAGATGCTCCATTTTGATAAAGATCTTTCAAGCATTTATAGAGATAATCATAAGATTTTTCTTCAGGTCTATTAGTATAGTGAATTATATTAATGAATTTTCTTTACATTGAACAATCTTAGGACATGCTATATAATATTTCCTTAATATGATGCTGGATTCTGTTTACTAATACTTTATTTAGGATTTTTGCAGCATATTCATTAAAACATATTGGTCTATGGTTGTGGTGGTGGTGGTGGTGGGGTATCTTCATTAGGTTTAGATATCAATAGTACCTGACTTATTAAAAGAACTTGGATTCCCTCCCAATCCTCCACCTCCACCCCCATGCTCTGGAAAACAAGCCACATAGCTTTGGAGTTATCTAGTCTGTTAAGATATCTGGTAAAATTCCCTTGGGAAACCATTTGGCCCTAGAATTGCTGTTTTTTTGTCTTTATTTCTTCATTGAAATTGCTCTGTTCAAGTTGTATATTTCTACTGGATTCAGTTGTGTTAACATGCATCTTCCTAGGAAATCTCCCATTATATCGAGTTTTAAATTTTAGTTTTCATTGATGTGTACAAAGTAATTGCTTATGATTTAAAAATGTCCTTCCATATCAATCACAATCCCCTATCCTTGTCATTTCTTATTTGTGTTTCTTGATTAGGTTAACTAGTGGTTATCTTTTGTTAATTTTTTTTCCTTAAAAATTTTTTCAGCACTTTTATTTATTTACTACTATTCTTTTTCTGTTTTCTGTCATGTGACTTCTGCTTTATCTTTATTATTTATTTCTTTATGCTTGTCTGTTTTCTTGTTCTTTCTCTATCTTTTTGGAGTAGGAATTCAACTTCTTTGTTTTGATCGAGTTAAGGAGATAAAGTTACCATTTTCTCATAATTGTCTTCCAAAATTTTTATATATATAGTATTTTCATCATTCATTTTTATAAGTTCTGAAATTTATTTGTATTTATTATTTTACTCAATAGTTGTTTAATAGGGACTTTTTTAATGGAATGCTTTTGGTTTTATTTTATTGCTAATCTTTAGTATAATTTCACTGTGACCAGAGAATGCTGTTGATATTATTTCAATATTATCGTATTTCTTTGTCATATAATTGTTGATCAATTTTTGTGACTGTTCCATGTGCATGTGAGAAGACAAATAGAGTCTCTTTAATGTTTCCTACAGATCCTCTCTGTGTATTAACTTTATTCCCATTTGCACTGCCTTCCACTGAAAGAGAATTCCTTGCAATTTCTATACTTTCCACTATATCAGGATTTCATAAACTATAGCCTGCAGACTAGCTGCCTGCTTTTATAAATAAAGTTTTGGTTGGCATACAAGAATTCTCATTCCTTTTTGTGTGTTTATGATTGCTCTACTGCTACAATGGCAGAGGAAGTAGCTGGCACAGAATATATGGCCTGCAAGCCTAAATATTTATGTTGTAGCTCTTAAAGAAAAATCTTTGCCAGCCCCTGTACTATATCAAGGTACAAACATATCCACATTTGTTATATCTCTGATGTGAATTACATCCTTTAAAATTATAATTATCGCCAAAACTGGTTTGGCTCAGTGGATAGAGCGTCAGCCTGCGACTGAAAGGTCCCAGGTTCAATTCTGGTTAAGGGCATGTATAATACCTTGGTTGCAGGCACATCCCCTGTGGGGGGTGTTTCTCTCTCATAGATGTTTCTAGCTATCCCTCTCCCTTCCTCTCTGTAAAATATAATAAAATATATTTTTAAAAATAAAATTATAATTATTATGCTTAATTTTTTAACCTAAATTCTACATTATTTGATGTCATGATTATAAACCCTGCTTTCTCTCTTTCTTTTCCAAGACTGGTATAGCTCTTAATTTCTACCAGTCCTGACTTTGTTTTAGATGTGTATCTGATACACAGTATGAGTTTGCTTTGTGATATAATATGAAAATACTTTTGTTTGAATAGACTAGTTAAGCTATTTTGAATAGACTAGTTAAGTGGATCAGTTTGTTCACACATTTCAAGGTAGAACAGAAACAGAAACTTTGCATGCATTATTTGAAGACTTTTGATGGTACTCTTTTTTGAATAAGCGAAGTTAATCCAAAATGGATCTGTGAGAGTACCTTAGATTTGAACTTTATTGTGGAAACTGTTATTGTGGCCTTCCCTTCTGCTGCTTGGGATTAAAGAAGCATTGGCTATGAATTTTGTTGTGGCCTTGCAAGTGAACTTGAAGTGAAAATGCAGCTGAATTACTGCTTAAATGAAGGTTAATTGTTTGTGAAGTTAAAAGGCAGAGTTTATATCTTGGATACATGAGAATTAAAGCCTATAGGAAGATTTCCAAGAAAAGTAATGAACTCACTGTAGCTTGATTCATTTCGTGCATATACTGTTTTAGTACGGCCACTTACGCTGCTGTCGGCCCAGCCTTGTTTAAGGACCTAATGACACAGGGTGATTTGAAGCGGTATCTCTCTCCTTAGAAATGTATTGTTCCATCGGGACTGTGTGGGGATCGTTTTTGTATGTCCAGCCTTTAGAACTGGTCATTCTCCTGTCACTTAACCTGGGGTCTTTTGGATCCCCTCCTCTTCCTTCGCATGGCGTAACTGACCTCTGTTGTGCTTTCTCTCGTGCAGGGTGGCCACTGACCACAATGTGGATAACACAACAGAAATCCTCAGGGAGTGGCTGAAAAATGTCCAGAGGCTCTATCACTACGTGGAATGGAGGCCCATGGATGAGCCTGAGTAAGTAGCAAGAGGACATCCTGTGAACTCACTGCGGACCCTTCCTCCCTTAACCAGTTCTCCAGCCATCCAGGCTTCTAGCCTTGGAGGCGCCTGTGGCCTTTCTTTGTTTTTCATCTGCATCTCTAGGAAGTTTCTTCCTCTGGCGGATGTGCATCTTTCTCCCTTCCTCTTTACTCCAGCAGGTCCCAGCCAAGTTCCGGTTCTCATGAGTTCACAGAAAACCACCATGGCGGTCTACATTTTAAAAGAGTGATAATATTTATTCACATTTTGAGTATAAACCTTTTATACTTGAGGGGTCATGGTGAAAAGTTTGTATACTTTTTATATACACCTTGCTTTTTCACTTACCATATCTTGGTAAGCCTTTCTATAGTTAAGTAGCTTCTTTGTTATCGTTATGACTGCAGAGTATGCATTGTATGGAAATACCATATTCACACAATCAATCTCTTACTGATGGGCATTTGGGTTATTTCTAATCTTAATCAGACCAATTTCTTAGGTACGTCCATTTTCAAGTCATTCTACATACCGTGCTATCAAATCAATTTATCTAAAATACTAATGATGTGGGTTAGTTTTTCTGTTAAAAAGACTCTAGTGACTCTCAAATCTATACACCCACATTTCCTGATCCTGCCCTCCCCCCAAAAAATGCCTGCTTTATTTAGAATGTTCCTTTTATTTCCAACCCCAAGCTTTTGCTGGTACAGGTATGTTCTCCTAGAAAACCCTTCTTTCTTTATAACCAACTGTTATTCCAAATCTCACCTCCTACCCAAAGCTGTTGCCAGTCATTCCAGTTACAGAGCTCTCTCTCCCTCAACACATGTGTTGCTTATTTTCTCCATCATCCTTTTTGACACAACTGTACACTTAACGAACATAAACTATGTAATCTATGCATTTTTCCAAGTGTCCCAGTTCTTTGTCAGGGGCTAAAGTACATAAATTATATTACCCTCAATGCAGTTTTTGGCAGGCACAAAATTAAAATTTGTTGGATGAACAAATGAGTGGATGAGTAAATATATTACTATTGTACATATTCCCAAGGCTCCTACCACTTACGGAATTGTACAAGTAGAATGAATTGAGTTGCCTGAATTTTTGCCCAGGATAAGTCATTTACTGAAAGCCAAATTTGTATTGTAAGTGCCATTCCAGAACAAATGTTTGTCCTTCTAGTCTCTCTGGATATAATCCTTTTTTATTTGTGTATACATGTATATACATATCTCAAATGCCAGCTTGGGGTCCATATATCAAGCAACATTTAACTACAAAATGGGAACACTATAAAAATTCTTGAACAAACTCCAAAATTCTTTTTGGAGTCCCTTATAATGGAATTTGGCATCATTTGAATGGCCCTGAAAGACTTTATGTTCCTACCTTGCATCCTGGTAATTTTCTCTATAGCCAGTTTCTGATTAAATATATTGTATGCCAAGGTCAGTGTGAAAAATATTAGGAGAGGTGTTTGGGAGGGGGGTGATACATTCAGAAAAACAGGAATTGTACTGCTTTTCGTTGAAGCAATAATAGGGGAAGTCAACCCAGAGAATTCCTGTGCATACATAGTTTTATTCATTCTACTTGTAAAGTTTTTGTGGTTTTTCATTCACCAAGGCTCATGTACTACCAGCACAGCTCTAGGAACTTGAAGTGGTGGCCAGTTTGGGCCACTATGGCGATATCAATGCTCATGCCAATTTGGAGTTTTCAGAAGGGTTCTGGAGGGTACAGCACCCATCGGCCCATGTGGCCATGCGGGAGTCTGGGGCTGGCCTTTCTGAGGATGCTGATGGAGATCCCAAGGACTATGCATCCGCTCCATGAGCTCCTTTCACCCGGGACACATCCCTGTGTTGGCTTCTGAGGCATCCTGTACTGAGACTTGCCCAAGTAAATTAAACCTTTCTTTCCCCTGGGAAATTCATATTTTTATGCTACAAATTTTCAAATGTTCCTGATGGCAAAATGTATTCTAAGAAGTATCTAGGAGCATGAGCTTTGGGGTTATGCCTGGGTTTAAATCCTGACTGTGCCCTTTATTAACTACACAGCACTAAGCAAATGGCTTAAATCACTCTACACCGATTTCTTCTTCTGTGAAATGGGGAGACTAGCAATACAGTTGGTGGGTTCCATATCTGCAGTTCAACTAATGGTGTATAAAAGTATTCAGGAAAAAATTACTACTGTGTGTGTGTACTGTGTAGTTAGACCTACAATGTATCTATACTGATCATGTACAGACTTTTTCTAGTCATTATTCCCTAAACAACAAAGGATAACAACTATTTACATAGCATTTATATTGTTCTGTGTATTCAAAAATAATCTTTAGAGATGATTCAAAATTTACAGGAGGATGTGTCCAGGTTAGATGCAAATGCTTCACCATTTTATAGAAGGGACTTGAGCACCCACAGATTTTGGTAACCACAGGAAACCAATACCTCTCGGATACTCAGAGACAATTCTACTTAGCTAGGAGGGACTCCGTGGGTTCCCTTTAGAACCCACTGAACTATTTCGTATAAAGATTCTTGTGTGCGGTAAGCAGAAGTTACTTGCTCCAGTTTCTTTATGTGTATGTGGGGATGATACTAACAATAATAGTATCTACTTCAAGCGAGGTGAGTGGTAGATTAAATGTTTCTACATAGTGCCTGGAATATATAGGCATGCAATAATTAAAGGTACTACTACTACTACTACTACTACTACTACTTATTCTTATTATTTTAGGTCTTATCCTGATGAAATTGGTCCAAAGCACTGGCCTGCCTCCCGGTTTGCCCACGTGATGAAACTACGACAGGCAGCTCTTCGAACTGCGAGGGAAAAATGGTCAGACTACATTCTGGTAAAATGAGATGTTTGATTTCTTGGCAACTGTTATCTAGAATATGTCCAGATCAGTTGTCCGAAAACTAGGACTGTGGGATCAAGTAAAAACAGTCTTATGTTTAGGCCCTACTTTCTCCACTTTTTAATAAAGACCCAGAGGAAATGTTGGGAATTTAATATTGAGATACCCGGATTCCATCTCAGACCCACTTCGCTCATGCATTTTCTGTAAGCAAACAAGCTCTTGAATTATTCACTCTCTTTCATAGAACAGGCATAAACACCCAAATGTTTGTAGCTCATGGGAGATGTAGGTAAAAATAATATAGTCTTAATAACTTTTCAGAGAAATTAAATTAATTAAATAACAAGAGATTCAAAACAATAGCTCTGAAACACCATTCCCCTTCGCTCCTGAGTGACTTGGGGAAATGGCATCTCTTTCTTGGATTCCTAGCTGCTTCCCATGATTCTGGGCTCTGGTGATGAATTTCTCTCCACGAAGAGGTTCCATCACTTCCGTTAGAACTTTGAGCTGGTCCAGAACATGCTGGACTTGATGATCAGGAATCAATATTGTGTTCCATCCTCGTCCTCCATGAACCTCTCTCCATTGGAAAGATAGCTTCTTAAGCATCTACAGTTCCCACTTCCCTTTTGAGTATTGTGGGTTGGGTCCTGGTTGCGTGGGTCCCCAGCATGGTAACACCAATTTATTGCTGGTGCCTTTTGCAGAGCTGAACGTGTAGAAGTTATACTAAGTGTATTTATTTTTTTATTTTTTAAAATATATTTTATTGATTTTGTACAGAGAGGAAGGGAGAGAGATAGAGAGTTAGATACATCGATGAGAGAGAGCCATCGATCAGCTGCCTCTTGCACACCCCCTACTAGGGATATGCCCACAACCAAGGTACATGCCCTTGACCGGAATCGAACCCGGGACCCTTCAGTCCCCAAGCCATGCTCTGTCCATTGAGCCAAACCGGTCTCGGCTATACTAAGTGTATTTAGTCTGAATGAAAGCCATCCTGTTGCAATGAGTTCCCCTAAGGGGAACATATAATAGATAACTTGGTTCCATATCTCATGAGCCAGCCCCTGCGATTCTCCGGAGGTGTTGAGTTGCTCCTGAACCATGACAAGTACCTTTTCACTTGACTTGATCTTTTCCTTTTCCTAGTTCATAGATGTGGACAACTTCCTGACTAACCCACAGACCCTCAGTCTACTGATTGCCGAGAACAAAACCATCGTGGCCCCCATGCTGGAGTCTCGGGGCCTGTACTCTAATTTCTGGTGCGGAATCACACCTCAGGCAAGTCTTTGGCTAATGAGTTAAAGCCGTGGCCTGCAAACTGCGGCTCGCAAGCCACATGTGGCTCTTTGGCCCCTTGAGTGTGGCTCTTCCACAAAATACCACAGCCTGGCCAAGTCTATTTTGAAGAAGTTGCATTAGAAGAAGTTGTTTAAAAAATTTGGCCCTCAAAAGAAATTTCAATCATTCTACTGTTGATATTTGGCTCTGCTGACTAATGAGTTTGCCGACCACTGAGCTAAAGCTAAGAGTTTTAACAAGGCAGCTACAGTCACCAGTAGTTAAGACCTATTAACCTTTTTCTCATTTCCTTCTTTGAAAGATGCATGCCATTTCAGAGCAAGCATTTTCAGGAAAATCCAGGCCTAATGCCACAACCCAGTGAGTGCTTCTGAGTTAATGAATTATGAAGAAAATATTCTAATGACTTTAGCTTTAGAAGCTTACATGAACCAATAAAGCGTGCTGGGATTTGTACTTTGTTTCTTTCTGACTCAGAGATTTTTTTTTTTTAAATTTTAATAGAGGTTTTTGTTTTTGTCATTAACACTATCCTAAGAATACTATAGAAAATTTTTAAAATTAAAAAGGTAAAAATATCATGTTAATCCCCACCACTGTAACATCATCGATAACAGTTTGCATGTCCTTAAAAACTATATCAAGTGGCTATAGTGCAACTTAACCTTTCTCTTAGTTTAAAAACATTTAAGTTGTTTGCAACTTTTAATTATTATAAGGACCATCATGATTAATATAATTTTTTGTATTTAGTATTATTTATCTAGGATAGCTTCTTAGAAGTGGAATTACTTAGTCAAAGAGTATAAATATTTGTATGACCTTTGATACATGTTGCCAAATTTATTTCTAAAGAGATCCAATAATTAGAACTGCTATGGTAGCTTGTTTTTACAAAATTCATGTTAAAAACAGAATCCTTTTATTTCCATCACCTCTCTTTTCCACTGTAAAGTCTTTAAAGTCTAGAGATCTGTTACAGCGAATGCTTGCGGCTGGTTATATTTTTACTCTTTAGTTAATAAATGCGGGAGATAAACTGATCAAGGTCGTATATGTCAAAATAGAATAAAGACATGCTTAAGGAAAAAATATGTATGTGTTAAATGTGGTCTCAGGCCCAAAGGGCTAAAATTGTGAGTCCCTCTTTTATATTTTGTTTGATTTGGGGCCAAATGATAAATGTTTAATAACTGGCTCTCTGTGGGAGGAAAATCCTGATGGGTAACATTTGCCAGGTTTCATGGTGTGAGTTACTCCCACCACGCAGACTACTTAAACGTTGTTTAAGCTAAGGGAAAGGTTAAGTAAATTGCCGTGTAGCTACTTGATGAGATAATTATTGAAAGTATGCAGAGCTGACATCTGTGGTTCTGTTAGATGGTGGGCATTAACTTGATTTTTATTTTTACAGCTATCAACATGTCAACTGGCTTGCACAGTTCCTGAAAACATAACAGTCAGTGGCTCTAGCACATTACTGCACGGGGCATTCCTCTTTCGTTACAGTATTTCCCGCAGTCCCAAGAGGTTTTGAATGCACGTTATTATCCACATCTCTTTTAGGGAAGCATTAAGTTAATATTTGTATGAGTCATTCCGTTCTTCGTCTGGAACGTTCTTTGGGTGCATTTGAATTCACACACTCGTAGTTAACGATCTGCAGTGTTTTCACATGGCAGAATCACTCGGTTGTTTTTAATGAGTTATGCTTTGACAACTGCAAAAAGGGTGGATTATTCTAGGGACTTCAGCCTCCAGGTTTTAATTATCTTCTTATTTGCTTTCATTATGAAAAGCAAATAGGAGAAATTGCTCACTTTTTTTTTTTTTTTTTTTTGCACAGTAAGAGTAAAAAACCTGGCCCCCGCTAGTGTGACTCAGTTGGAGCATAATCCTATACACCAAAATGGTTTGGTGTTCGATTTCCAGTCAGGGCACATACCTAGGTTATGGGTTGGATCCCCTGGTCAGAGTGCATGTGGGAGGCAACCCATCGATATTTTTCACATGGATGTTTTCCTCCCTCCTTCCTTTCCTCCCTCTCACTTTAAAATCAATAACCATATTCTCAGGTGAGGATTTTTTTAAGTAAACATTTGAACACTTTAGAGGCAATTCTAATTTTTGCCCCCCTACTCTTGGCTGCCATTCCCAGCAGGCTTCTGCTAGGGCAGTCAAAGATGTCACATGCTTAAGGCAGGGCCTGGTCTCCAGAGCATCCAAAACGGAGCGGCCCTGGTAGTGTTGTCAGGCCAGTGAACAGGAATTATTACCAACAAACATTCAATCTTTGTGGGTGGAAAAAGGCACAATTTTCACCTCTGCCTGTGTGCAGGAGGCATGTTAACTCTCTTTCTCTGCTCCCTGCCCCCAATATATTCAGGGATTCATCATCATCACAAAATTTCCAAGCTTCTCATTCTGAGAATATTGTGCCTGAGTTGTCTAGAACTTTATATTTGACATGCATGCTTAAAGACCAGCATTACCACCATTTGCCCACCATCCAGAACTGAAATATCATTGCTGACATGTACACATAAGTAACTGTTTGACATTGAAATTGGGACTCAAAAGAATTGGTGGCCCAGAAAGAAACTTTCTATAGACTGATTCATATGCCTTTCAGCATAACTATTATTGCTTCTCTCATTTTTGATTCTTATAAGTATATTTCTAGTAGGACATGATCTCACTCATCTAGGGGAAATGGTGAACAACATAGACTGATGAACGAGAACAGACCCAGAGATAAGGAGCCATGGATCAGCCTGTCAGACGTCAGAGGGAGGGTGGGGATAAAAGGGAGAGATCCACCAAAGGATTTATGTGTATACATATGAGCCTAACCAGTGGTCGGGGACAATAGGGGGGGCATGAGTGGGGGGAGGATTGGAATGGGGGTTGAGGACAAATATGTGATACCTTAATCAATAAAGAAATTTATTAAAAAAAAAAAAAAAGACCAGCAATCCTTTATCCCTTAGGGAAAATGTTTTCAAGTTCAAGTATTAGGAGAACCCATGTTCTAACTTAAGGATATTAAGTGATCCTTAAAAGCTAATAAAAAATTATACTACTAATAATACTTCCTATAATGAATCACAGTTTTTAAAGTATCTTCATAGACCTTAGTACTTGTGATCCATTCTACACTCAGTGAGAAGAAACTCAAAGAGATCAAACATGGGCTGAGATCCAACAGCTGGACTAGGTTAAAGTCAATGTAAGCCTCACATCCTCTAAGTTTCAACTTGCACTGCTTCAGCCTTGCCACGTGGTCAGGGTTAGGGTTAGCTCAGCTGGAACACACGTCTAGACACTAAAGGGATTGCCTGAGGTGTGAAAGAGGCTATATTACTCAATGTGTGGGCCCTGACATCACAACAGAAAATGGGACCACAAAGTAAATGGATTGGTTGTTCTATGTGCTTGCCCACAAGGAACTTTCCAAAGGGGAATTCTTTTGAGCAGTGACAGCTCCCCAGAATATTGAGTAAGTAGCTTCATAGGAAGAAGACCCTATTTCTAGGTCTCATTACTGCATGTTGAGTTAAAAATATTAACCAGTGTAATGTAGCAATTTTAATAACAGCCAGGGATGCTTTCTCGGTGCCAACACTATTATAGACAATTTTTAAGGCATCCTCGTGGTGTGGATAGGGCCATCATTTCTGTTTTACAGATGAGGAACTAGGTTGAGTACTGTGACCAATCCCTGCAGACAATAAGTAGCAGAGGCGGGATTTGAACCCAGGCCGGCAGACACCTTCATTGCTTGACTTTGTCACTTCTTCATACTCATGCTTCAATCATAAGTCAACATAAAATGTACTTTTACGAAATTATTAAATCAAGAGATATGCTGAAACCAAAATTATTTGTTAATAGGACCCTTATAGTATTGTTTAATATGTACATAGCAATTCTTGAGCTCAATCCAAATTCTTAGGCCAAGATAAAAAGAATGACGGTGACTTTGCTTGGGGACTTCTCCTTCATGGGTCCTGGCTTAGAAGGAATCGGCTAGCAGATGAGCAGGAAAGATGAAGTCTCAGGTCAGAGAACTCAGCCTCCATGCTTGCTCTTTCCCAGGGCTTTTATAAACGGACCCCGGACTACCTTCAGATCAGAGAATGGAAGAGGCTGGGCTGCTTTCCCGTCCCCATGGTCCACTCCACACTCCTGATCGACCTCAGGAAGGAAGCCGCTGACAGGCTGATGTTCTATCCCCCGCACCAGGACTACACCTGGACCTTCGATGACATCATCGTCTTCGCCTTCTCCAGCAGGCAAGCAGGTACTGTTGGTATTGGTGGCACCACCCACAGGGAGACACTCTAAATAACCAGCCTCTTAGTTTTGTTGGTAAGAAAATGGGCGTCCTCAGCAGGTAGTATTAGAGACAGTTGATTGCTGCAGTTCTCACCCCAGCACCCCCTGGGTTGCTGTCCCTGTGAGCACCAATGACCAAGAGCCCTTACCCAGAATCTGCTATTGTTACTGAGCAGTAGGAGTAGGGTGGTGGCGGTGGGAGCCTTGGGCAGTTGTTGGTTCTCTATGGTGCATTGCTTTGTTTATGATAGGAGTCCTTTTATCAATCAGAAACTGTGACAGAGACCAAAACAACATTGGCAAAAAATAAAAAATAACAAAATAACAAAACAGACTTTAAAAATGGAAGATTATTTCTTCTTTAAAAAATCTGAGCTGGTGTAGTGGCTCTAATCCACACATTTTCAGGGACCCAGGATCCTTCCCCATTGCTTCTCCACCCTCCATGAAGCATCATCCTTAAATGTATGATCCAAGATGTCTCATTACTAGGGATGCGTTCCAGCCATCGAGTGAAAACCAGAGAGGGACGGCAGTGTCTTCCCCTTAAAAGGTACACTCTGAAAGCTGAACACATCACTTCCATGCATAACCCATTGACCAGAACTTAGTCCCAGGAAAACCCTGAGGGGCCTCAGAATGTTGTCTATGCAGTCCAGAGCTCCGTTCTCCTGCTCCAGAAGAAGGAGAGAGCAGATTTGGGGTGACAACCACAGTCCCCATCAAAGGTCAGGCAAAGCTGAACTTGAGTCTTTCATGAACCATAGGAAAGCATTTCCAGAGGCGAGTGTAAGTCTCTTAAAGAAGACAAATCAGTAGGAATGTAAGTTATTTCTCTTGTGTCACCTGCATGTGCCGTCAGGGAGGACGTAATTCGCCACAGCAGTTCAACAGGAAGATACTGAACATTCCTGAAGCCAAGTTTTATTCTCAGAACGGAAGCTAGGTCCCATTATCAATGAGCCAGAAATGTGTCGCTGAGCCACTAGCCAAAGTGAGTGTAGAAACCAGGCAGGTGGTGAATAAACTCGCTGTGTTGTAGAGTTGGTTGGAATGCGAATATTTGGTGGAAATGTGGAGGGCTGATTTTTCTCCCCACTTGGCTGCCAAGGCCATTGGGATGCTTTGGCCAGATGCAGGCATTTTCTGGCCTGTGTCAAGGCAAAATCAAGGTTCTTGTTCTCCTGTGGGTTGGAAGTTTTCCTGAGGGTTCTATGTCAGTGTTAATGGAACTGCTTCTTTCCTCCTGGTCTGTGATTGGCTCTGACCTCCCCAGGATGAGAAGCAGACGCTCCTTCTATTTGTGCCAGGCCCTTTGCTTCAGAGCTAGGAGTAAGGAAGTTCCAAGAAAGTGAACTGTGAACAGTTACAGTAATGATCCTTGCCTAACAGAGTCCCATTTACAGCGCTGCCCAAGGCATTATGGTGAGCCAGGCACTAAATTATGATGATGATTCTTTTCAACCAAGAACTGGATTTGTGGCTAGGAGAGTGACACCGGCTGGGAAGGAATTTGTCAGCTCTGCCCTTTGCTTGTCCTATTCACTCGGCCTTCGTTCATTATTGGTCAGGCTTCCCAAGGGTCCTCCTGGGACACTGAAAGCAGGTGCAGAGGCCCAAAGCTGCTTGGTGATTCCTCGCTTTGGGGACAAGAGAGGGAGAAAAGGAAGGCGAGGGGATCAGGTCTCTAGGCCTTCCTCTTGTGCCTAGCATCATGTTAGGCTCTGTGTCTGGGGAGATAGGATAAGTGGAAATGTAAATATTGTTATGAAACAATGAAAGCGAAGGGTCAGATGGGTGGTACAAACCGAGAAGAGGCCAAGTGTCAAGACAGAAAGAATAACCGTCATTTGGAGGAATGGAAAAGCTCGCCAGATGGTGGTGTGGTTCTACGGTAGCTCTTTTTATTTGTCTTCAAGTATTTTCAGGAGAGACACGAATGCAGCCGATGGAGTATTTCTGGGCTCTTCCATTGTTAGATTCAAAGCAAAGCACTTTCCTTCCCCCTTGAAAGAGTCTTGATGAAGGATGATCTGCATTCGTTTGTTCTCATTCTTGTGAAGCTCTCTAGCTGTGTTTCATCCATTGGAGCATCATTTTTTTAGCTGCCAAGAAGGAAATAAAGGGTCTGTGTGTCCCAGGTAGGACCATCTAGTCACAAACTTTTAAAAAATATATATATTTTATTGATTTTTTACAGAGAGGAAGAGAGAGGGATAGATAGTTAGAAACATCGATGAGAGCGAATCATCCATCAGCTGCCTCTTGCACATCCCCTACTGGGTTTGTGCCTGCAACCAAGGTACATGCCCTTGACCGGAATCGAACCCGGGACCCTTCAGTCCACAAGTCGACGCTCTATCCACTGAGCCAAACCGGTTTCGGTGAGCCACAAACCTTGATCCTTACTCTTTAAGCTTGGACTTCAGGCATCACATTTGGGTGATGAGTGAAAGGGTCAAACCAAGTGTGCCAGGGCACTGGGGTGTGGCTGCCCATCTAGCCCAAGAAGAGAGCAAGTCTCTGCGGCTATAAGGAGGGCCGGGTCAGGCGTTCACTTCCCAGTGTGGCCAGCGACCTGGGTCTGTATTGTGGCCACGGGAACCATCTTTGGCGCCAGCCGGTCATCTTTCAGTGTCAAAATAGGCAAGAGACATGGGTGATCTGCCTCCTGCACATCACTGGTAGTGACCAAAAGGGCCCTGCCTCCCCCCATGTGCAGGGATGGCAACCAGAGTGTTACTAGTTTTCAGACTCGACTTCCAAATTCTGGGTGGGTAGAAAGAGGCTTGGCATTGGCCTTTAGGGACAGAGGTTTGGCAATTAATGACTTACTGTATGACCTTGGGCCAATCATAACCTCTCTGAATTTTCATCAGAATAAAGGTAAGTATATCAATTTACAATATTAAGGTACTATGTGAGTATAAGAAAATGATGGGTATCTTCATAAGGTGAGTAGGCACAGTTCTTTAAAGTGTGGCATCAAAGATAATTTTGTTTGCCCAGAAGCAGCTTTCACTGAAAGTTCCAGATTCCTTCATAGACTTTATCTAGTTGTCAACACATTTCCTTTTAAAATTTAATTCCTAATTATCTAAAACTTACGTTAGAATGGTGACTTTTTTTTTTCTTTTTTACAGTTTACATTCAACATTATTTAGTTTTGGGTGCACACAATGGTGGTTAGACAATCATATATTTTACCAAATGTTCCTCTTGATATTTCCAGTATCCAACTGGCAGCATACATAGTTATTATAATATTATTGACTGTATCCCCTATGCTTTACTTTACACCCCTGTGACTATTTTGTAATTACCAATTTGTTCTTCTTAATTCCTTCATCCTTTTCTCTCAGTCCCCCAAATTCCCTCTATTCTGGCAAACATCAGCCTGTGCCCTGTGTCTATAAATCTGTTTCTATTTTGTTCTTTAAATTTCACATATAAGTGAAATCATATGGTTTTTGTATTTCTCTGACTGACTTATTCCACTTAGCATAATACCTTCATGGTCCATCCAGAGTGTTGCAAATGGTAAGAGTTCATTCTTTTTCATGGCTGAGTAATATTCCATTGTATAGATTTACCACAGCTTTTTTACCCACTTGTCTGTTGATGGACACTTGGGCTGTTTCCATTTCTTGGCTATTGTAAATAACACTGCAATAAACATAGGGATGAGATAATTATTTTGAATTAGTGTTTTTTGTTTTTGAATCGTCAGATTTATCTGCTGTTCTTATTGGTGATGATGTCTGGCCTGGAACCTGTGATACACTCTAATCTTAGTAGTGCCACAACTGTCAACCTGGGACCTTCTTTTCTTGTCTTCTTAATTGACTGTTCTCCTTACTGTGTCTGTATTGTGTCCAATCTTCCTTGTTGTTTGTAACCTCCTCCACCTCTCTTCCTCCCCCCTTCTCTTCCTTCTCCTCCTTCTTCTTCCACATCATCCGGTAACTTGGCGAGACAGTATGATGGAAAGTAAATATGTATGACCTTGCATGTTTGAACACGCCTCTCATGTTTCCTCACTTGATGGATAGCTCAGCTAGGCCTCATGCCCTCTTTTTACTGAAGCTTTGGAAAGTTGAATAGTAACTTTGGAAATCTGAAGGGTTGAGAGGCAACCTGAAATCACTTTTCTTCTCCTTTCTGAATCCATCGTGACTTGCAAGAGGGTAGCTTTAGGCTTGAAGTTCCCTAGAAGCCCTTTTGTGGGCAAACAGCAGAGCTAGTGACTTCACTTGGTGAAGGCAAAAGAAGTGACAGTGATTGGTGGGCCAACCCTGACTCAGCCAGAGTCAGGAAAAGGGAGGATAGAAGCTCTTTTCTTCCCTGTTCTTTTCTGTTAATGCCATCAGACAGCTGATGTGGCAGGTGATCCTGCTAATGGGAGAAAATCTCATCTGCACAAAATAGAGAAGGCTCTGTGCAAGTAATTCTCCCTGGGAAGCATAGATGGTTCTAGCAATTAACAAGTCAGAAGCTTGGACACATGGACAGAACTTGGCAGACTTATTCTTTTAATTCAGCAATCTTCTCATTAGTCAAAACTGTATCTGCTGCAGGGTCCCTTGGAGACCATCTTGATCCCTACATTCCTAGCTATCTGGTTGAATACAGATGCTGTATAATATAACTCTCAGAACTAGCCAGCTGGGACTGTAAAACCAGTGTTGAATATGAGAGGGCTGTGGCATATTTCTGGCAGGTTCTTCACAGGACTTGAGATGCAGACTCTCTTTTGTTTCTTTACGAAGTTGTTCTAGAAGTTTCGTGTCCATTGGCTGACGCCAAACCCAGGGAACTTACTCTCAGGAAACTTGTTCAGAGAAGAAATAAAACCAAAGAGAGTCATGGATAATTTAAGTTTCCTTGCTTTTTATATTTTTGTTCTACATATGGCTAGATTTAGCCCTAGTAATCTGTCAGCCTTACAGATTTTCCTGTTTGCTTTCATATCAAATATGGATTTTTATTCCTCATCCTCTCGTTATTTCCGGTAGGTGGATTGCTGTGTTCCATTCTGTTCTCTGGAACAGGAATTCCTTGCCTCCTTTTTGATCCCTTCATGCTTTGATTGTTCATTTCAGACCACAACTATGCTTTTTCTTTAGAGAGAAAAAAATTAATTTCCTCTGAGCTCAAGAATGGCCCAGGCTTTTTATTAGACCCCAATGCTGTGTTATACTTTCTTAATAAAGGAGCATTTTTGAGGTCTGCAGACAGTGCCTGAAACAGCTACTTGTTCAATATCAGAGCCAAACCCAGCACCAGCCACAGTCCAGCCTCCTTTTCCATAGTTATCACCGTAGAACTAACAAGTGTTGTTTTCTGATTGATCGGCTTTGTCCCTCTCTTGGGTCCTCCAGGCATTCAGATGTACCTCTGCAACAGAGAGCACTATGGCTACCTGCCCATCCCCCTGAAGCCCCATCAGACCCTGCAGGACGACGTTGAGACCCTCATCCATGTGCAGATAGAAGCAATGAGTGAGTAACCCAAGAGCCTGTGATGGCTCTTGTTCCACTGCCACTGTGACCACAACAAACACACCTTGCCTGCCCCAGGACTGGAGTCTCACAGCCATCAGTCTGCCTTGGCTAAAACATGGATATTCATTTGTTCATTTATCCTTAAACTGTCCCTAACTTGAAATGTGAACATGACCAAGTCTTTTCCCTCAGGGAGCATCTGTCCAGGTGGAGAGCTGGGTGCACAGTAAATGCATTTCACACGATGCCATCAGGGCTATAATGGTGCTTTGTGTTGAGATTGAAACTCTAACTTTGCTGCTTTCTAATTATATGACTTTGGGCAAGTAATCTAACTTCTGCAGTTATACAATGGAGATGATGAAAAGTTGTAGACTTTGGGGGAAAATGTTTAATAATATATATAAAAAGTCTAATAACTACAACAGTAATTATGACTTCATCTTAATAGCTTATGATGTATCAGATACCATACTAAGCACCTTTTAAAATATATTTTAATCAATTTCAGAGAGAAAGGGAAAGGGAGAGATAGATAGAAACATCAATGATGAGAGAGAATCATTGATTGGCTATCTCCTGCACACCCCTTACTGGGGATCAAGTCTGCAACCTGGGAATGACTGGAATCGAACCTGGGACTCTTCAGTCTGCAGGCTGATGCTCGAACCACTAAGCCAAGTCAGCTAAGGCTTCTAAGCATTTTTTGTACATTGTCTCATTAATCCTTACAACAGAGCAGTGAAAGGGGTACATTATCTCCATATTAAAGATGAAAAAAATTGAGGCACAGAGAGTTTAAGTAACTTGTCCCAGATCCATTCTGCTAAGGAAATGACAGATTGGGTTTTGAACCCATCTTGTTGTCTCCAAAGCTTGTAATCTTACACAGTCCACTCTGCCTGGGGAGGGATATTGGAAATGGCTTCCCAAAGGAGAGCATATTTGCACCGAATTGTCACACAGGATCTAAGACATTCAATTGTTCATCACTAGAGCACAGGATGTGTGCATGTGGGCAGTGCGCAGGACGTGAGCCCAGTCAGAATGACCTCTACTGTATAAGAAAGGTCACTCTGACTGTGGTATGGACACTACAGCATAGGCGGTCCAGTATATCTCTCTTGGTGATGAATGATGGTGTTTGGGATGTAAGCTGTAGCAGGGAGGAGATAAAAAACAAGCAGATTTAGGAGATGTTTTGGTGGTAGAGACAACAGGACTTACAGACACCTGGATGCAGCCCATGAGGAAAGAAAGGAATCAAAGATGGCCCCAGGATGTTGGACTGGTTTGCCATTTAATGAAGTGGGAAAGGCTTCATGGGAAAAGATTTGGGAGAGAAGTTTTGGTGATGTAAGTTTAAGATATTTATTGAACATCTGAATGGAAAGATTAGGAGATACTTGGCCCTGTGAGTCTGGAGTTTAGGAAGAGACTCCAGCTGGAGACAGACATTTTAGGTCATTCGAATTAAAAGAATATTTGAAGCCATGGAACAGAGTGAACTTGTTTAGTAACAGAACATTGAAAGAGGAGAAGGAGGAGGACAGATCCCTGGGGGAGATGAACAGCCAGAAAGCTGGAAGGAAAAAATGAGAACTGTTTAAGAAGGAGCCAGATGCTGCTGAAAAGTCAAGTAAAGTGAGGATAGAGAAATGATCATGTGTTCTGTCAAGATAGAGATGCTTGGGGACCTTGATAGGAGCCACTTCAGTGAAACGATTGGGACACAAGCCGATTGAAGAGGGCTAAAGAGAGAACAAAGGGGAGATGAGATGGAATCTTGTTGGGATGGAGAACAGAGGAATAGGATGGTGGCTGGAAGGCAGTGAGAGATCAAGGCAGAGGTTGTTATGTTTTGTGTGTTATTTTTTAAGATACGATTTTAACATATGTGTGTGCTGAGAAGGAGAACATTATAAGAACTTGGTGATGTATAAGAGATGAAGATGATTGTTAAGGCTGAAGACCTTGAGAAAACAAAAGACGTTGTAACCCAGGACAACACTAGAGAGGTTGTCCTAAATAGGAACAGGGATGCTTCTCCCACAGTAGACAATGTGTAGAAGTCAGAACGTGTGGGTGCAGATGCTTCTGAGTTTGTAAACTTGAGGTCAAAGGAAAAGGCAGGTCTAATTTGGCCTTGAAGATTTTCTCTATGACATATGTAGTCCAATCCACAGCTTGAGAGAGATGTTGGAGATTTTAGAAGAAAGAAAAAGGCATAAAATATATCTTTCAGAGAACAGAAAGTAAATTTACTATGGAAGTATATAGTTGCATATTTGGCAGTGTTGAGTGCCAATTTGACATCTGTGGTTATAGTTTTGAAATGACTCAGTCAGAACAACTGTGTGAATTTCTCTTGCGGTATATTTTCTCAGTATGTGTAAATGGACAATTGAATTTAACCGAGATTGGAGTTTCGCTAAACAAGATCAATGGAAGAGACTTAAGAGTGTTTACTAGGGTGGTTAGAGTGCTGGACCATGTGGTCCGGGTTGGGTACTGATGGAAGCAAGGGCCTGAAGGCCATGATGGGTGCAGGCATGGTAGTGGGTCACTGAAGGAATGAAAATTATATTGACAACAGTGTGCCCAATGAGTTAGAATGAGGCAAGAGTAAGAGCATGTAAGTGTCTAAAAAATATTAAAACACCCCACGCATGGTGAATGAGCACCTGAGCTAGGGTGGTGGCTAGAGCAATGGAAGTTCAGGAGAAGTTATAGAGAAGCGTTAGGGTTTGGTCCAAGCATAATTTCTCAAATACTTTTCCAAGTGTGCCTGGGTTGGTATATTGGTTGCTGGTATATTGGTTGTTGGTATATGGTGGGTGCTCCAGAAGCAAGGACTTAGCTAACTGAGCTGCTATGAACCCAGACCCATTGCCCAAGGCTAACTTGGCTCCAAGGACTCCCAAGGAATGGCTTTGGGTTAAGAGTTCAGGTGCAAGAGTCAGGCTTAGGTTCAGACATCAGTTCTATCAGATTTGTGACCTTGGGCAAGTCATTTAAGCCTTTGTTTCCCTATCTGTAAAATAAGGACACTCTTAGCTGTCCCGCGCTACATATTGTAAAGAGTAAATGTGATTACATATGCCAAGAGTGTGTAGCCCAGAGTTCAGTAAGTGATAAGAACTCTGTAACAATAGCTGTCATTATTCCTAGATCTTGAACCTATCCAAGAGCCAATGAAACATGTTGCATCAACTGTTGGTATAGGGAGGAACTACCTATGTCTCAAGAGGGATTCAATGAGGGTTTAGATCAATTATGAATGATGGAGTCAGAAATGGCCCCAAATAACCTGGGATATACCTAACTGTCAAGTTTTTAAGGTCTGGCTCATATCATTTCCTGTTTTTCCTATGGCTTAGCTCTCTGCCATCAGTGGCAAAACCCAGGCGTATTCCTCTAATGTTTGCTCAGTGGTGGCTTTCAGGAGGCAGCCACCTTAGGCTTTTTGGGGATCACTTCTCCTATGAATGCAATGACCTCCCATGTTTGATGGAAGCAAAGTGGCTGAAAGCAGTCTGTTTGGATGACATGTTAAAGCCACACAGGCCATGTGAGTGCCAAAAAGAGACCAAGAATGTGGAAAGGGTAACTCAAAAAAATAACCCCCCTCCCAAGTCTAAGAAGGCCCACGGAGGGAGAGCTAGACAGCTCCTCAAACAACGGTATAAACAAGGAGGAGTTTATATGTTATGTTTCTTTCTCTTGGAAATCTAACTCTGTACATGGTGGACCCTCAATAAATATTGGTTGATGTTAAAAGCAACTAGTGAGGCGTGAGGTGGAACAGAAAGGACCAAAACATTCGGGGTTGCTAATGGCAACGGAAACATGAAATTGGACGGATGGGTCAGGGCTGATGTAAGAGCCCAACTCTAATGTTTGGCTTAGGAAATCTGTCTCACTGTCTCACTGTCTTCTAGAACTTCACATTGCTTGGCCCTTAGTGAAATTACAGCCATCAGTCTGCTGGCTTTCTTTTTAATGTCCCCGTGAAGGGTAAGCTAGTTAAATAACGCCCTTTGGACAGTATCTCAGTCAGGATGAGGCAAGTTATGCTGGTATATCATATGGTGCCCAAATCTCCTCCGCTCAATCCAGCAGTGGCTTGTTCCTGGCTGTGCAAAGTCTGCCTTGGTCTGATATCTTTCCTGGGCGGCTGCCCTCCACATATGGGTACCTCAGTCTGGGCTGCTCCAGATGTGTGGCTTCTCCATATCCCTGTGGGGGTTGGGTTGGGGGTGGAAGGGGGTTTGGAGAGTGGAGCCATGGGAATTCACATGGTCCTGACTAACTTCAAGGGTGAGGAACTGTTTTCCTCTCACATCCCTGGGACAGAGGAGAATGGATGCTGCTGAACACTAGTAACGACCATCACCCATAGGTCTTCACACAACCCACAGGCCAGCTTTCATTTTAAATTTTGTGTTCTCTCTTCAAGAAAAACCAAACGAGTACTTTGAATGTGTCCAATACCAGAAGTCTTCAAGACTCTCTCAAGTTTTTCAACCAACATGGCTATCAATCTTTAACATACATTGTTTGTAAAGATAGTTTGTCTGTTTTTTTGAGTTTCAAATAATTAAAACTTTTTGTGAGTAAAGATCTGATGGCCCTTCCATCTGGAAACTTCCTTGTTAGCCCTGTTCCAGGTTCTGGGACATGGGCTGGCCGTCAGAGCTGAGTTTGTATTGAAATAAAGGACCTTTTGTGTGCCTGTAGCTAACCCTGCCTGGCTGGGATAAAAATAGTCCTAGGCTTTGACCATTTTAACTGTATAGGAAAAGCATTATTTCGAGAGAGTCTGGCCTATTTCTGAACCCTTTCATCATTGGCCGCAGTAAGTTATCCTGGGCTAAGCGTTATTGCATATTTATTATGTTAATTTACTGTGCCTGCCTGGCATGCCAGGATCATTTAAGTTTTATAACATCCTAAAGATACACTTTTATTATCTTGATCTTACACACAAAGAAAGGACCTAAGAGAAATCACCTAGCTGTTCCAGACTTTCACAAACATAAGTCTCGACCCAGGTCATCTGACTAGAGAGCCCTCACCCTCATCCATTGCCCTAAATGCTCTGACAATAAGTCTTTTTAAAAAAATATTTTTTATTGATTTCAGAAAGGAAGGCAGAGGGAGAGAGAGAGAGAAACATCAATGAGGAGAGGGAATCATTGACCGGCTGCCTCTTGCACGCCCCCTACTGGGGATCGAGCCCACAATCCCAGCATGTGCCCTGATGGGGAATTGAACCATGACCTCCTGGGTCAGAGGTCAACACTCAACCACTAGGCCATACTGGCAGGGTATCTGACAATAAATCTTATGGGAAACGGAGCAAATACTGCAATCTGCATATAAACAAGTGCTCTCAAAACCACGGCCCTGGCTGGCAGGGTTCTTCTGCAGCCACTCGGTCCTGGAGAGATGCTGAGGGCTTGTCCCTGCCCTGGACACGCAGGTTATGTTCCTGGAGATCAGGTGTGTGGATGCAGTTCTGTGCTCTGGCCTGCACTAACAAAGCCCTCTGCGTGTTTCTTGTGTCTTCCAGTTGACCGTCCTCCAATGGAACCCTCCCAGTTTGTCTCAGTTGTCCCTAAACACCCAGACAAGATGGGATTTGATGAGGTAGGAAAGGCACATGTGTGCAAGTGTGTAACATGCTTGTATGTTTATATTGGCTCACAGGCCTGAGCATAGGTCTGGGAGTTAACAAGACGGCCTTGGCTGCTGAAAAGGCCCTGAGGTCTTGGGAAAAATCACTCACTATTTTGTTGTACCTCCGTTATCTTAAAAAAGGAGCATCATGGTAAAAGTGAATTTATCATGGAGTCAGAAAGAAGCTACTGTTGAGTGATGAAAGTGAATTTGATGTTATTTTCTAAAATATTGTCATATTTTATCAACCTTTTTATCAAGACTCAGGGGTAAGGTAAAGAGGATATATGTTTTCAGGATTAGAGAACTTGAACTTGACTCTGAGTGGGTGGAAACTGTGCTGGACCAGCCTGAGCTTTATGTTCTCTCTACTGTTCTTCCAAGGAAAAAGGTCGGAGGGTAGGGTTGAGAGGACAAAGAAAAAAAGAGAATGAAGAAACTGTTCTAAAATTCTGCCTTTCCCAGGGCAAGAATTTCATAATAGCTTACTGAGGGCCGCATTTATCAGTGAGTTTCAATTGCTTCGAGAAGGAAGCAGAAATATAAAGAGATGCCTCTCAGTAATATGCCCCACTTATAGGATAGTTGGCAGGGCCAGAAAAGTGACTGACTCCTTCATGGTTCCTCATGTCCTGTACTCAGGAGCTTGGTGAATACAAGGCAAGTCAGGGACCCACACACTGGAAGCTTTCTCACAGAGTCTGGATAGGTTACAGGCCAAGCTTTGTGCTCTGTGCCCATTGCGGCTGTTCCATTGAGAGAAAGTCCTGATGTATCACCTGGTATCATATAATGCATGTTCCCTTAGCACAGCCATTTAAAGAGCTGCTGGCACTGGGAAATAGGGTTCTGTCTATTAAATGGACTTGGGGGCTGAACTATTGGGATGGGAAGAAGTCTTTCATGAATATTAAGTGGGAAGGAGCACTACTAAGCAATTTCCACAGAGGGCAGAATGAGGAGAGATGATTGGAAGTGTGGGAGAGAGGAATTGAAGTATAAATGGCTTTTAAAAACCATCAGAGCTGCCGAGAACGTTAGTCTGCACTGTGCACTGGATGAGCTCCCGTGTGTCACTGGAGCTTTCCTCCCCTGGAGCTCCTGGCTCTCCAGGTAAAAGAGCCTGTGTCTTCACATATATCCATCTTCCTTCTATAAACACATTCCCTTCGGGATCAACAGAAGCAAATAAACGGGACAGGAATAGGATCTTCTAGCTCTGGCCTTACATTTGGATGTGGGTGTGACGACTGGGTCACTTTTGAAAGGGGTAAAGGAAGGAGTGGACCCACCACTGGGTCACATTGCCTTCTGAAAAGTGCCCACTCTAGGAAGTGACAGAGCCTCAGGGACTCCACTCTCCTGGGCCCAGGGTAATCTCTGTCCTGAATAGGATGGTGGAAAAAAGATTTGCTGGGCATTTCCAACCTTCCCAGGACTCTCCGACCTCAGAGGTGGTGTCTGGGTTGCACTTGGCTGTGTGGCTCTTTCTCTGTTTACCGTGCTCTAAGTATGAGCGAGCTGTCTGTGTTTTTTCTTCGTGGCTGCAGTTTTTATTGCACTTGTCCTGGTAGGAACTGGGACAGGCTTGTTATTTCCTAAAGTCATCCCAGGCCAGAGGTCCTTGGTGTGAGGGGACTTTTTGTTGTATTTCTGTTCATTTTGTTTTGTTTTGTTTTGTTTTGTTTTGTTTTGTGGTTTGCTTTCCTGGAGTGACCCCAGGTAGCTCCTTGTGTACCCACAAGCAATGCCCTTTCTATATCTGTGAATCTAAGGGATGGAATATGGCCCACTGCAGTATGAGTCTACACAGGAAGAGAATGAAATATGAAAGAACACCACCCATGAAGTTGTAAAATCACAAGTACCAAGGCAAATGGTCACCATAGAAATTGTGTTGTTAAAAAATAATTACCTAGCTAGGTAAACAAAGGAGACGATGACATCATGACGCGCCTGACACAATTTGCCCTAAATCAAGTGGATGATTTTTTAAAGAGGTCATCATGCCTCCCCTCCACTTCATGTTCTTTGCCCAGAGCTTTATAAATGGATGGAAATGAGAATATTTTGTTAAGGAAGAGTTGAAATTTCAGTTAGTGTAGTTTTGTATCCCAGTAAATCATACAACATCAATAAGCACACTCCGAATGACCATATGAACCAAAGTTTTGCCCAATCTAGTCTGAACTGCAAGCTGGTCATAGTTACTTCTTTATTCCGGACATAGCATAAAGCAACCCTATTACAAAGCGTGGATCGTAGATGGTTTCCTCTGAACTGGACTTGAGAGATGAGCTTGTTCAACTCCCTCTCTTTTACAAACAAGTGTCTAGACATGAAATATCATCTGTAACATGAAATATCATCTCCATGGTTAAAGAGGTAGCCAGCATCATCTGACTTACTCCTGTAGGTTTCTCCTTTCCCATGCTATGTGTCAATCATTTCTTCCTGGCAGCTGACATCTCCCTCCCTTTGAGGACCAAGTGGGTTTATTACTGCCCATAGGAGAGACCTTATTAACATATTAATGTACCTAAAATAGCATTCACGAGGCTTTAGGTCCTTCTGTGGCCCCTTAAGCCTAGGAATAGTTAGGACAGCGTCATTATCTGAAACTTCCTGTCATGGCCTGGTAATACGTATGTGTTTAGCGCAGCCATCAGGAATGTAGGGACTAATGTGGGTGCACAGGTGGACCCCGCCCTCTTGGGGGATGATCTGAGTGCACCTTCTTTGGGACCAGTAGGAGTCCTTTCTATATCTTTTCCCATAGATCCACCTGGAAATTTAGAGTTTCATTTAAGCCTTCACTTAAGCCTTTCTTTCCATTTCCCCCTTCTCTCTTCCTCAGAGGGCTGCCCCTGAGGCCATGGCTCCTTCCTTTACCTCTTTTAGAAAAATGCCCTTATCTTGAAGTTGAATTTTGACCCAGAAGCTACTAAAATTAAGACCTTGATCATTTTGTTTGGAACCTTTGGAAATAAAAGGAATATGTTAAGTCTAGATTTTTTTTATTCTTTGATTTTAGATTTAGACAGAGGATATACATGATACTAATAGCTGATACTTAGTACCCGTGAGATAAGACTGTTACTATCCTAGTTTTACAGATGAGGAAACAGAGGCAGAGGAACTGATCCAAGGCAAACACTAGTAAATAACAAGATGGGAACTCAGGTCTGCCAATGAATGTAACCACTTGCCAAGATGCCTCCCATCCCTTAGTGCCTATGCCTACATTTAAGTCACCATTACCCTCCCGGAGAACAACATTTTTCAACTTTCCTATCTCAGAAATAAGGTGGAGGTGTTCACCAATGAACATCAGAGAAACAGGGAGGGTTAAATCACCACAAATGCTCAGTTTTTAAAGTAATTTCATTTGGATTCATGTCATTTGACCTGATATGAAACGGAAACAAATCTCCAGTTTCCACTCCTTATTCTACCTGAAACTTTAAAACGTTGATGCTACATTTAAATTCTCCAACAGCCTAAAGGAAGACTTGAGTCATCTGTGTTTCCTTCTCTTTTTCTCCCTGCGTTAGATTTTCATGATAAATCTCAAACGCAGGAAGGACCGGCGGGACCGGATGCTACGCACCCTGTATGAGCAGGAGATTGAGGTCAAGATCGTGGAGGCTGTGGATGGAAAGTGAGTTGGGTTTCTCTTGGACCTTTGCAGATGGGGTTGGAGTGGGGACATGTCCTACCTAATGGAGTAGTTCTGGGTGAAGAGAATCTGTGGCCATTGAATATAGTCGCATTTTTATAACAGCCCGTGCAGCCCACCTGGGGAAACATTATAACTTATAGTAGCATAGAAGTTAATTTCACCATGTAGATCTGGACCACAGTCCACTCACCATCCAGCCATCTCTGGTCTTCATGATGCTGAAGCTCACGCCGGAAGTGATGTTCCCATCTCTGGAGTTCTTGCAGTGGTTAGGGTGGTCCTCAGCTTCCTGCAGTATGTTGGAAAGAATGCGTTCAGAGTTGCATTCAGAGCCTGGTTTAGAGCAAAGTGTCTACTAGTAAACTTGGGCGACCCAACGAAAACGAATGGGAAAAGTTCATAATGGTCTGTGTATGCTGTTGCATGAGGTGCTGGCCAGTTGGTCTGGGCTGATCACTTTCCCAAGAATGGCAGGCAGGCAAGTCATATGGGGCACATGATAGCTCTCTTCAGGGGGGTTTGTTATTACTGTTGTCATTTTCTTTTGCTTTGCTTTGACCTTTTATTTGACACCCTCCTTCAAGGCATGGATTTTGCAAACACTGCAGTTCCAATGTTATATGCATGCCTCTAAGAAGGATGGTTAGAAGCTGTAGTGAGAAGACTTATGATTCCTTTAGAGAATCCTATAAGTGTTTCTTGAAGTTTGGCTGGGACACCCACAGCAGAGTACCCAAGGGCTGGGAAGGGTACTTAATGTTCCTACGAGCCACTTTTCTTCATGAAGAAAATATTTTTCAAAGTTGTCAAAAAAAAAAAAAAGTGATGATACTTAGAGCGATGTTGGGCATTGGGAGGGATACACCAACTACAATACACCCTCTGCTCTCCACAAAGCTCATACAGTCCCCAGGACATGTGAACCCCGGGGAGCTCCTAAGGAGTTATAGGAAAGCTGGGACATTTTTTTCAGTGTGCGTGAAGGCTCTGGGGAACATGCAGAACTCTCTCTCTTTGGCTTCCGTGGTGGGGACATCTCGCCTTGTTCATTTTCAGACGTGTTCTGTGTCACGCAGGGCGCTCAACACCAGCCAGCTGAAGGCCCTGAACATTGACATGCTGCCTGGGTATCGAGACCCCTACTCCTCCAGGCCTCTGACCAGGGGTGAAATTGGCTGCTTCCTTAGCCACTACTCTGTCTGGAAAGAGGTAAATGATGCTTCATGTACACGTGCACTTTGTACTGAGGAGGAGGGAGAGTGGGACTTTGTGGGTAAGTGAGGGCCAGGTGCAAGGTGAGCCCATCACTATTCTGGAAGTACACTTGCAAGTTGCAGTTGCTCCGTGTATTCCTCTGACACAAAGCCAGCCATGGGCAAGGAGGGGTAACCTTGGGCCCTTTGGGACAATGACAGGGGAGGATGCCCATGCTGTTAGGGCCACACTCCTGCTGATGCATTCTCATCGTTAGGAGGGATGCCTTGTATGTCTCTAGCATCTCATCATTTAGTAAGTGACTTCATACAAGTAGATCCACACAAGTCACATGAGGTGTGTCAGGAGGGATGGGCCCATTTTATCCAAGAGGAAAGAAATATGTTGTCTAAGCAAGAAGTGGCAGAGCCAGATGATAGGGGTGGTAATGGAGTGTGGCATTCTTGATCAAGGTTCAATGCTCACAAGAAAAGGAAAAGGCTCTGACAAAGGGCCTCTTGAATGCCTTCTCTCTTTGAATGCTCCAGTCTAGGCCTATCTTTTTTTCCTTCTTTAAACTTTAAATGACACATAAGAGAAATGTATAAAAATATGTAGTTTGTAAAAACACGGGCCAATGGAATTTGACAGACTGAACAATGCACCTACGTTAACCAGCACCCAGATCCCGAACAGACTGCCAGCACCACAGATGCATCCCGTCTACATTTCCTTCTAGTCACTGTTTCCCCAGTAGTCACCATCCTGACTTTTAATGACAATAAGAATAGTTTTGTCTTCTTTTGTAATTTTTTTTATATATATGAATAAAACCATAGGGTATATCCTCAACCTTGTGTTTGCAAGATTCATCTAGAACATTCAATTTGATTGTACAGCATACATTCTTATTGTTATAAATACACCACAATCTATTGATTCATTCTACTGTTGACTTAGAATCCAGTTATGAGCTTTTACAGATGCTACTAAACTCCTGGCATTTTAATACTGATCTAATAAAAAAAAATAAGTATTGAACATTTCATAGAGTGTCTTCCCACTGTTGATCTTCACAGGTAATTGACCGAGAGCTGGCGAAGACTCTTGTTATTGAGGATGACGTGCGTTTTGAACATCAGTTTAAGAAGAAGCTGATGAAGCTGATGGATGACATTGACCAGGCTCAGCTGGATTGGGAACTGATGTGAGTGACAAGGCAGATTTTTCAGAGTGCTCCGAGAGGCACTGGGTCCTTTCCAGGGGCAGCGAGCCCCACCTCCCCCACTGGTAGGAGAGACACCTCAAGCTTCCACTGGTTTTCTCTCCATAACCATTACCAGAAACCAAAGAAGGGAGCAGAGGATAGCCACTGGTTCTGAATGTGCGTGCTCTGCAGGATGAGAAAGAAACTGAGGGAGATTCTGTATGAGACCAGGGGTCAGCCTGCACCTCAGGGGCCTTCAGAGCAGACACCCCACCCTCGAAGCCCATGGCCCAGGGAGGGGGTTTATTCCAGGGCAAGAGTCCTGGGTCAGTAGAGCAGGTTCCCTCTGTGGGAGATTGAGCAAGGGGAGGGCTTCTCTGTTGGGAAAGGCAGCTGGGCAGCAGGGAGAACACTGACAGCTGGGTTTGGTGGAAGATCAGAAGCTGTTGCAGGAAAACCAGGCTCAACAAGGGACTGGTGGCTCTGCACTGACATTAATGAGTTAACAATGGGTTAATACTCATTGTCTGCCATCTCTTAGAATTGCGTTCTCTTTCTCTCTCTCTCTTTCTCTTCCCCCCTTCTCTATTTCCTCCTTCCCCCTCTCTCTCATTTTCTTGTTAAACCCAAATGACACTTTTCTTCTCTCCATGAGGCAGAAAGTTCCCAAGCCCTGTGTTCTCCTCCCAGCTGTGTGTCACAGGCAGTCCCATCCCATCAGAGCCTGTTCCTTTGGAGTACCTGCTCCAGACAGGCTGTCCCCGCCCCTCCCATCCTTGGAGGGAACGCCGGCTATGGGCCCAGGTGGAATACTTGTTCTCTCAGAAAATGCACCCTTCTGCTGAAACCGGTTTGGCTCAGTGGATACAGCATTGGCCTGCGGACTGAAGGGTCCCGGGTTCGATTCCGGTCAAGGGCATGTACCTTGGTTGCGGGCACATCCCCAGTAGGGGGTGTGCAAGAGGCAGCTGATCGATGATTCTCTCTCATCGATGTTTCTAACTCTCTCTCTCCCTTCCTCTCTGTAAAAAATCAATAAAATATATTTAAAAGGGAAAAAAAGAAAAGAAAATGCACCCTTCTGAGCTCAAAAGCAACCTAGCAGAGGCTCCACTGACCCGTGGGAAAGAGACCCAGCAGTCAGCACAGTGCACTAGGGAGACTGGCTCCCTGTCAGACAGCAGCTGCTAAGATGCTCTTGGAGAACAGGACATGCACTCGGGTGCCTGTCTCAGAGCAGAGCTCGCAGGAGGAAGTGTGGGCAGAGCTAGGGGCGTGTGAGGCTCTGGCATCATCCTCCCCAGGAAGAGCCTCCTGGGGGCCACTCCTGCAGACTGCCTCTTCCCCAGCCTGTTCTGGCATGTGTTCACCACCAGCATTTGGAGAGCTTGCAGACAACACAGCAGGCTAAAACTTGGGGGACTTGAACATAAACAGGATCCTCACATCTGGCCTTTTGTGTCCCCTGCCAGCCCCTGTAAACACAGTGGGAAACCTCATACCACTTTTGGGAAATGATCTGAAAAGACCTTTCATCTCTTCACATCTTAACTTTCTGGCTTAAACACTGTCTCCTAGACAAGAGTAGATGGGATGCTGATAAATGGAGTCAGGGAAATGGCCCCACCGATGACAGTCATGGTTGGTGGCAGATGTGATGTACTGTGTGGCCTGATGCACTTAATATACAGGCAGTCTATTAGGTCCAAGCTTTCAAAAGTGTCTACAAAGCTGTGCTCCATTGCGATGGATGCCTGGTATTCCATTTGGAATTTTCTCCTCTGCCCACTTCCTTTCAGTTATATTGGTAGGAAGAGGATGCAAGTAAAAGAACCAGAAAAGGCGGTGCCCAACGTGGTCAACCTGGTCGAAGCCGACTACTCCTACTGGACGCTGGGCTATGCCCTCTCTCTGGAAGGAGCACACAAGCTGGTGGGAGCTGATCCATTCGGGAAGATGCTGCCAGTGGACGAGTTCCTGCCAATCATGTACAACAAGCATCCTGTGTGAGTTGCCCTGAACTCCCTGACCGTCCCATGAGCACAGTGCATTCGTGAATTAGCCTCCTTAGTTTCTGGGCAGTACTTGGTATTTTCTAACAGTGTACTATAATCACGACTCAGGGAGGTTGACTTGAGTGATTATCCCATAATGGGGAAGCTAAAGCAGAAATGGTGTCTTGCATAGGAGTCTTCTTTAATACCCCATGTGCAATTCAAATGGACATAATCTGCTCTGTCCTCTCCTTGTCTTTGATGTCCTTACTTCCATAAACCCATATGCCTCAAGGTGAAGGTCGTCTTCCTAAGCATCTCAAAATTTTCAGCTCATTTCTTTGTCCACTGTGGGTCCTGTTGGCCAGGCAGTCAAGAGCGCAGGCCCATGAGCAATCATCATGATCTATTGTGCTACCTGTGATCATGGAGGTGTGTTAGAGAATCAGGGCAAGGCAGGTAGGCTCTGGGGTGGATCCATGGGAGAAGGCAGTGTGATGCTCAGGGATTGTATAGCCTAGGAGTTGGCTCTGACCAACACTTATCAAAGGGTTTGGTAGTTGATGGTTTACTTGTCAGTCTCCCCAATAATCTGTGAGCCCCTGAGGTAGGCACAGTCTTACATCTCTGTGTCTTTAGAGTCTGGGCCAAACTCTCTACATAATTGTTGTTCTGTCAATGATTCCTAAATTCCTTAATGGAGCGGGAGACCAGGTCCTAACCTTGGCTCCTTCCCTCAGTTGCTGGGTTACCTCCTCACAGAGATGGTCTTCATTTTAGCGGTTAAGAGCTCCTGACCTCCATCACGCTCATTTTATCTCCTTGCCCACTTTTACACAACATAGTAGAGACTGACTTTATCTCTGAATCCTGAAGAAACAGGGAAGTCAACCATCATCCCCTTAACAGAAAGGAAAGGAACGCCTATGAGGCATTCACTGACGTAGGAGCTGAGCAGATGTGGTCTCACATAATCTGCACCAGAGCCTTGGGAGGGAGGTCCTCTCACATGGACCTGCAGTACAAAGCCACGTTGGCCTGCCTCCAAGCCTATGCTAGTTCACTTAACTCCTTCACGGCTGTCCAGATCCTGCTAATTTATTAATCCAGCAACAGGGCATTTTCTACAGAGTATTATTACGGTTCCACACAGAATTCAATTCTTAACTTTCAGAGTAAGAGCTGAAATTCATTTTAAACTAGTCCAGCGGTTGGCAAACTGCAGCTCTGTTGACTAATGAGTTTGCCAATTGCTGCCTTAGGGAAAAACACTTAAAAAAAAACACACACACACATTTTAATAATGCACTAATGTCTTTAACCTGAAGTCAAAACTTCTAGGTAAGGATAATGCCTTACGCAGTGGTTGGCAAACTCATTAGTCAACTGAGTGGCAAACCGTGGCTCGTGAGCCACATGTGGCTCGTGAGCTGCAGTTTGCCGACCACTGAACTAGTCCATCCAAATACAACAGAAATATCCTGACTTTTTCTGTGTATTTGCTTAGGTCATCTTAAAGCTTCTAAAGAACCTTTGTTGTATTTATAGACCAAAATTTTCCACAGAGGACACAACTTAAGAGATAATCATATGACCCCCTGACCATTAAAGAAGTAACAAGCAGGGCCCCTGCCCCTCTCCCTCTGTTCTGTAAGCACCCTGCCCCCCTCACGCCTGTGCACCTCTTGTTTTCAGAGAGGAGTACAAAGAGCATTACAAATCCAGGAACCTGAAAGCCTTCTCCGCAGAGCCCTTGCTCATCTACCCCACACACTACACAGGCCAGCCGGGGTACCTGAGCGACACGGAGACCTCGACCATCTGGGACAACGAGACAGTGGCCACTGACTGGGACAGGACACATTCCTGGAAGTCCCAGAAGCAAGGCCACATCCACCACAACGCCAAGAACACAGAGGCCCTGCCACCGCCAACCTCCCTGGACACCGTGCCTTCGAGGGACGAGCTATGAAGGCTCTACCCGGCGTTCACCACCCTTTGGTTTCTCTAACGGGCTGTCCATCTGTTTGCTCCGGCTTCTTCCTATGGTCACAGTCATCAAACCAAAGTGATTGATCAGAATCAATATATTTTTGAGATGGGAGGAGAAATAAGAAAATTAAAACCCAAATTTCCTAAGATGGCTAGAAGATAGGCTTTATTGCACCCATTAAGATAAACTTTAATGTAGACACCTGGTCCTTTAGTTCATTACCCAATGACGCTGGTTGTCACATTAAGGTTGAAAAGTATGGCTCAGAGACTCATCCAAGAGGAAGTCACATCAGTGAATGGGTGAGCAACCTTGCCATGCCCACTGAGGCCACGTCTATTGGTCTAGTGAACCCACTTCATGTCATAGATGTGGCCTTAAAAACTTGTGTAGGTAACAAGTTTGTGGGGGGAAATCAAATAGTTTAAAAAATCAAATTAATTGGGCTTTTTGTTGAAAGGAATTCTGTCATGAGCCTTATTGCAGAGTAAATTTTCTATCAGAGTCCTTGCTGTCCAGCAGGGATTTGTGTTGGGTCTGTCTGAGCCTTGGCCTTTGACTATCGTGGCAGTCGGAGCTCTCATAACGAGGCTCCAATGGGCCATGTGGGTAGCTTAGTTGATATTTGGGGGTTTGTGTAACTATTTGAGGGAAAAAGAACTCAAACGTTGGCCTCTTTATTGTGGTCATTGGAATTAAGATGCCGTATTTATGAAGATAAATTTAATATATAAGGGGGGAGGGTTTCAGCATGTCAGACCCTCCAACCCCGCATGGGGATGAATTGCAGGTGTGAGTTCCATGAGTTACTGTTAAGAGGCAGCCCCTGCCCTTGCCCAAGTTTCAGTCTAGTTTGGATTATTTATTTTTACAAAGTGGGGGGAGATATTTATATGATAAGGCAGAGAAACAGATGTTTTGAGCTTTATCGTGTTTGAAGATGAAACACAATGGCACCCTGGGAGCGGTCAGTGTAGACACACCGGTTCAATCGTCAGGTTCTCCCACATCTCCCAGGCAGACTGGTGCAGAGTGGGAGAGTCTAACCATCTGGAAACAAATGATCCAGGTGAGGGACGTTGGTCAGAAACAACGGTTTGATCAACTGATTGAGGCCAGCCACCAGGGAAGTTTCCGGTGGAGTTAGGATGTGGACAGACAACCTCTGCGTTCTCCATGGAGTGATTTTCCGTTGAAGGCGGAGTTGGACTGTCGCATTTCTTCCAGCTCCACCGTCTGTGATCCTCAGAATCTCTTGATGGTTTGCTTCAGGCTTATGTTCTTGTGCCGCCAACAGTAGAGCTTTGCCTCTGAAAATGTAGAGCTTGTCCCTCAGGGTCCTGATGTTGGAGCAGAGCCGTGGGCAGGACTGTTGTGTGTGACAGCTAAGTGCTCCTTGGTGAGGGCCGGGCTGCAGGACAAGGCAGCTCACCTTCCACAGAACACTAGTCTTTGGCCTCCCATCTTGAATTACCGCTGATATCCCTCTACATAGACTGATTAGCCAGGAAACTGAGGCAAGGGGTCTTGGCTGACTCCAGTTTTTACTGCTTAGACAAACCATCAGAGCTTGACTTTTTTTTTTTTTTTTTTTTTTTTTTTTTTTTTTTCCTAGAAGCAAAACAAAACAGGAAGAACACCTGGAGAGTTTGTGAAAGCTCCTTAAATAATCCCTAAGGTTTCCTTGGGTGTCTTGTATTTTGTTTGTATATTTTAGTGTGTGCGAGTGTGTGTAACGTTCATGATCCTTTTTAATGGGGTGGGAGGTGGCTGGGGTATTGGGAGTGGAGGAGGATTGAGTTGTGTGGTTTTGTTCAATAGAGAACTTTTTTTGCCTCCATCAGCTGGTCTGATGGGTTTCCGAATTCCCATTCTTAAAAGACATTGGTCTTAAATTCTAGAATTTTAGATTAGGGCTGTTCTACTGTGAAGAAAATTCTGGCTCTCTTAGCTCAGCCATTGCCTCTCCCTGCTTAGGTCTGGAATCCCAAGCAACATTCTTCTGTTGTGAACGTTGCAAACTGCAGAGCCAGCATTCCTTTCAAAAGTTGTCTCTTCAGCAACCCAGGGCTTCCTGGACCTCATCCTTCCTCCTGCCTCCCCTCTAGTCTTAAGTCAAGACATCTGACCTTCGCAGCGTCAGAGCTCTGCCTTCAGCCATGGCACCTGTTCTCTGCCTCTGGCCATCACACCCCATCTGGATGCCGGACTGGATCTTGGGATCTGAGGTGGAATCTTCTGGACAGACGATCGTGACCTCGGCAGTGCTGGTGCTGCCGAGTGTGGGCTGAGCGACTACGCTTGCAGAGGACACACCGCATGGCCTTGCTGTGGGGTCCCTGGGCCGCTGCAGGGACTCTGGACAATGATAAAGAGCCAGCCTTCCAGCGCCCTACCCTATCCGTCATGCTGTGTCATTTCCGGAAAGGGCGTGAAAAACTACTACTTGCCTTCTAGAGCTCTTTGTGAAAAATTAAAAAAAAAAAATTGGCTCAAGCTATGATCGTTCATTGGTTCTTCCAACATGATCAATGGCCAATATTGGGGTTTTCAGGTTTGCTCTCATACGAAGATGTTGAAGGCCAGAGATAACCTCACGGAAAACAAGACAGGTTGGCCTTGCTGCCCGGTGGGGGTGGTTTTAGGTGGCTGGGTGGAGGTGGATCTGCTAAAAAAAGATTGTAGGCTACAGAAAGACAGGAGTGCCCAGTGGGAGGGTGTAGAGGGAGAGGGCATTTACATTTTTGTGCTATAGGTCAGTCTATTCATCAAAAGGTACTATGATGATGGTCCAAAGCCAAAGAGCTTTCTCCTGAGGCAAAGAATAAATAAAAGTTCCATATTAGCCTCAGCAGATCATGCTGCCCCCAAACTGCAAACACCAGCTGTGAGCACTGCCTGCTGAGGCCTGTGCTGGGCACTGAGATGCTCAGAGGGTGAGGGGAGGCCCCGCTGCCGTGGTCTGTGGAACTGCTCTGTGAGGCTGGAACGAAGCGGGCCAGAGGACCCAGACACCTGCTTCTGCTGGGAGGACTGTTGGGGCAGCTCTGTGGGGGAGGGGGCAGTTGTCTGGCCTGAGGGGCATGGATGCGAGTCTAGATGAGGCAGGAGGGTTGGGCAAAGTGGGTGGGAAAGCTTTCTAGGTGCTGTGAGGCGTGGGCAGGACCTGTGGCAGGGCCTGTGGCAGGGACAGGAGCTCGGTAGGACTGGAGAGTCAGGTATGTGTTGGGGTTGATGCAAGAAACAAGGCTGAGCCAGATAATGATGGCAAGGTAAGTCAGCTCCCTCCCGCTCAGGCTGCCTCGTCAGGAATGCAGAGGCCATTGCTCCCGGCGGATCCTAGGCTTGGTTTCCTGACAGACAGTGCAGAGGTTTCCAGTAAAATGCTGGTATCTGAACCGAACATTCCCACTGACCCACACACTGGGAATCTTTCACCTGAGGTTGGAGTAAACCCCTCTAACAAGTACCTGTCAGATACAGGTGAGTGTCCGCCAGGTGCTTTTGAGACTTTCTCTCCTGGTGAACAGAGGGGGAGAGAAAGGTCCAGAAGGAACTCATTGAGTGAGGAGTTCATGACAAAGTGAGAGCTAAAGTGGGGCTGGCCCTTTGATAAGAAAAGAGCATGACGGGTAACAGAACACAGAGCAGGCAGCCTTGGAAACCATCGTTACACTTTGTGGTGATGTTCACTATTTCGGAGAGAATCTTCCTCCCTCAGGATGTTCTGATGCAGCCAAGGGAGGAGATAGCAGTGAGGTGACTCCATTGAACAGGTGCTGACAGCCCTGAGTCAGTGCAGGCGGCTGAGACGGGACGAAGAGCCTGGCCCGCGGTGGCCACGTGTCCTTTTTGGCTCCTTGGAAGAGAGAGGAATGGGATGGAGGGGCTGGCTCGGCGTGTTAGACGGATGACAGGGAAAGCGGTGCCTCCCCATCTTCAGGGAGAATCGGTTCAGATTGCCCAACTCTGAGGGGGATCCCAGGGCAAGAGCAGGACTGACTTCTGCTCCGTGCATTGACCTGAAGTGGCCTGTGTGTTTCCTCCCGCCCACGGCTGTGTTAACATTGAGATGATCTTGCTCTGGCCACTATGACAGCAGCTGGGCTGCTCCCAGCCTAAAGCCTCCCTCCCATCTGCCCCAAAAGAGGTGGAAAGAATGAAGAATTGCCTCTGAGCATTGGTTTCTCTTGACGGCTAATTTACTGCGTTTATTTGTGTGCCCCGCCCTGCGGTTTCTTCAGCTTGGCTGCCTCTAGAATGGGCATTTTTAATAAAAATCTCATGTCCAAACAGTTCCGGGTGCAGAGTGCAAGCTTCCCAGCTCTCCCCGCCACCCCCTTGCAGGTCCAGGGGGTGCGCCAGGATGTTTCTGGGTCTGGGGGAGGCTGGACAGACGTCTGAGCTCTTGCTCATGAGGGAACCTGACCTTCAGAGTGCAGTGGACCTCTGCGTCCTTCGGGGAAGCTTAGAAAATAATGTGACAGAGCAGCCTGTTCTGAAAGAGAAGACCCCGGCAGGAGGAGCCGCCCAGGTGCTGATGTCCTGGGCCGCAGGTGTGAGCTGCTCTGAGAACTGCCAGCACAGACTGCCGAGATTGGACGGGGCTGTGATTGCTCCTGAGGAGAGGGAGGAACCCCAGAGCTGAGTTTCGGGGGACAGAGGAGAGCCAGGCCAGAGGGAAATGCAGGGAAGAGGAAGAGGTGGCTTCCAGGCCCTGTACCCCGCCTGGGACATTAGTGTCAGGACAGGGAGAAGAGACAGATTCTTGCTTGTCAGGCCCCCTCCACCCCCATGCTCCAGGTCACAGCCCGGCCATGGGCGTCCGCACTGCACAGCCTGCTCCGGCCCGGCTTGTGCGCAGGGCCCTGTGGGGCCCATGTCCCGCTCTGGGAGCCTTGGCCTGCGGCTGTCCAACAGGCTGGAGCGGCCCTGGCTGCCCTCCAACTCCGAGAGCAAGTTTTTCCCCAAAGCAGCAG